AGGCTGTGGACTTCATACTCTTACAGATCTTAGTCCTTCTGTGTGGTCTTTCTTGTGTATTACTTCTTCAAAGCCTGAAATTCTGTTGCTTTTCTATGCACATGGAAGGCAAATGGTGTAACTTGAGTCACACCTGCCCCAAGAATCCCAACAAGGACTCCTTATTGCCAGCTAGAAGTGGCATTTGATTTCCACATGTATAACAAAACAACAAGATTTTAACCAAAATATAGTAAGCCAGCCTTAATACATTTGAGGGCTCATCTCGTTTTCCTGCCCCCAAGTCATGCCTGGATGGACTGCCACCTAGCCGCTGAAATGGGAGGCATGAAGAATGGTGCTCTTAAATAGTATCCTGACATGCTCTTAATATTTTTTGGAGCTATACTATATATGAGAATGGGCAATAATGTTTGGGCATATTTATTTATTCCACAACAGAAAAAGCAGTACAATCAGAAGAGTCACCTCACTGTCCTTGATATTTCAGATGCTTCTTTCTTGTCTCCCAACAATAAGCCAACTTGGGGAGGAAAGATGCAACCTAGCATGGGGAGGTACAGCTTCAAACTACTTACACCACATCTGTAGCTTGCTGCAGCTTACATTTGAGATACATGAGGGCTCCCATCATCCCTTATCAGCACAACCAACAGTGAGAGATGATGGGTCCACCTGTACAACAACATCTAGAGGGCCATAGCTGTCCAATCATGTTGTAAACATTAGAATGAGAAGACACGACAAAACCTGACCACCCCTTCTCTTTGATGCTGTTCTGTACAGTCATCTGTGTACCAATGACACTGTATAAACACATAGGAAGCAAGCACACACTTTGAGTCTGCTCAGTCAGACACCAAAGCTTCTGATTCTGACTAGGCTGAAAAGTCAGCCTGGAAAGAAATATTACAGTAATAGCAACTGTATTGGAAATTCTTAAATGTATGCAGATATGCCAAGATCAACTCCTGACCATTTAACTGAAAACTCTGACAAAGATTACTTATCAGTGTTAACAACATTGATTGCTTTTCAGTCCTTTTCTTTTTTTAAAGCCATAAATATGTGGCGTGTGGTTTGTTTGTTTTTTAAAGACCTCTGACTCAAAATGCAAATCGAATATGCTTGCAACAAGGCTGTTGCAACAGCGCTTTACATGTTGTTGCTGCAAATCCTGACCTTATTATTTTGTCTAATTGTTTTTCTTGTTCTACATGGTCGGTACAGTACTGTATTATGATCACCGCCCCCCTGTATTTCCGAAGCAAGTGAATTTCTGGCTAATCTCTCCCCAACCCCCACTGTACTTATTACAAGCAGTTTTTTAGAAAATGCAAGGACTGCCTTTTCCTTTCAGTCAAATAATAAGAATTATACTCTGAATGCTAGGAGAAGAATTGAAGGCCATGTAGCAATCCTATGGGATTTCTAGCCATTTCTAGCCATTCCATTGCAGTATGAGAAGCCCAGAGCTGTACTTTCTTAAAATCTTTCTTCCTTAAAAATGCAAGATTCTATTTTGCACATCTCCAAAGACACTGGAAGGCGTAAGGGCTATTGCTGTGGAAATATCATATAATTTCCAGTGGTTGAAATGCAGATCTCATGTTTCTTCCCATGATGAGTGCTACAATCTCTTAGGCAAAACAAGAGGTTATGTGTTTTCTTGGTTTGTGTAGCTTAACTCTCTAGGTGAAGTACAGCCATCCTTGGATTGAGGGCTCCTTCTGCCCATCATTGTAACTGACTACCTGGGACTTTGCCTCTCTGCACCTCCAGGTGATCCAGGGTGTCAGCACCTAGAATGAAGAAGTGGGTGAACTGTCTCAAATTCTGGATCCATTTCAATCAGGCTTCAGGCCGGGTTTTGGTACAGAGACTGCCTTGGTCGCCCTGTACGATGGCCTTTGCCGGGAGAGAGACAGGGGGAGTGTGACCGTGCTGATACTCCTGGACCTCTCAGTGGCTTTCGATACCATCGACCATGGTGTCCTTCTGGATAGGCTGGCTGGGTTGGGAGTTGGGGGCACTGTTTTAGAGTGGTTCCACTCCTCCCCGCCCCATGGCATTTATGTCATGGGGTTCCTCAGGGCTCAATACTGTCCCCCATGCTGTTTAACATCTACATGAAACCGCTGGGAGAGGTCATCAGGAGGTTTGGGCTGAGGAATCAGCAATATGCTGACGACACTCAGCTCTACCTCTCGTTTTCCACCAATCCAGGTGAGGCGGTTTCTGTGCTGAACTCGTGTCTGGACCTGATAATGGACTGGATGAGGGTTAATAAATTGAAACTCAATCCAGACAAGACGGAAGTGCTGTTAGTGGGTGCTTCGCCGGACAGGTTGGAGGGCCACTTCCCTGTCCTGAATGGGGTTACACTCCCCCTAAGGGACAGGGTCCGCAGCCTGGGGGTGCTCCTGGACCCCAGTCTAACTTTGGAAGCTCAGGTGGACTCGGTGGCCAGGGGTGCCTTCCTTCAGCTGCGGAAATTATACCAGCTACGGCCCTACCTGGACGAGTGGAGTCTCATGACAGTTACACATGCACTGGTAACAATTGCAATGGGCTCTACGTGGGGCTGCCTTTGAAGACGGTCCAGCGACTGCAACTGGTTCAGAATCGAGCTGCGCGGCTGGTGAGTGGTGGAGCCGCTAGAGATCACATCAAGCCAATTCTGTTCAATTTACATTGGTTACCAGTTGCTGCCCGAGCCCAATTCAAAGTGCTTGTTTTGACATATAAAGCCCTAAACGGCTTGGGCCCTGGATACCTGAAGGACCGCCTCCTTCCATATGAGCCTACCAGGCTGTTAAGATCTAGCCAGGGGGCCATTTTGAAAGAGCCATCCCTCAAGGAGGTAAGAGGGATGGCTGGTAGACAAAGGGCCTTCTCGGCAGCTGCCCCCAGACTATGGAACGCCCTCCCAACTGAAATTCGCCTGGCGCCGACACTGATGATATTTCGGCGCTACCCAGCTTGCTGGGGGAGGGGGCAATGTGTAGCCTGTATAATTAAAATTGTAAACCGCCCGGAGAGTGCTTGTAGCGCTATGGGGCGGTATATAAGTCCAAAAAATAAATAAATACATACATACATACATACATACAACAATTAGCTTCCCCTTAAATATAATAGCCTCTAAGGTCCTGCAACATTTTTGTTTTCTATTCCTTGTGTGTTTTTATATTTGTCTGCATATGCTTGCACAGACTAACACAGCTACTTCTCTAAAAGCATCTAGAGTCACTGTGTTCCAGGACAGTTCCAGGACAGTTAACTAGTTACTTCTTTGGGTAATGAGAGTGTAAAGAAACTACCTTTCAAAAATAATGTAACAAATAGGATCAAAATGAGTTTGGTGATATTTTTAAAAAGTTACTTATTTCTGAATGCTACTTTTAAATGCAGTTTTAAGGCATTTTTAAAGGCATCTTATTGGAAATTTGCTCAGGTTTTGTGCCATTCTCCTCAATTGTAAGGTTTGTTCTACAAAAAAGCATCAAGAGAATTTTGATTAGTTAAAATGCTTCAGATCTTTCCGCTATCAAATATCCCATGGCAAAGGTGTGGTAGAATAAAACATTTCTGGACCAAATTCAAATTCATTCTAGCCAAATATCAGTCACGGGAACACAGAAAACTGTTTTATCTCAGCGTAAATTCTTGATCCATCTCACACATTATTGTTTACTCAGGTAAAAACTTTGCTCATCCCCTTCCACCATGGAACCTTTTAGACCAGGGTGGGCACCATGCAGCTTCCCATGGACCCAAATGTATTCCTCAAACAGCATTAAAGGGAATCGGATTTTACTTTTTGTTTTCAGAAGAGTGGAGTGTGCAGGCATAACCATTTTTCAGGAATTAGTCAAATCTTATGGATTACTCACATATTTTCCTCCATATTATACATTCCAGTTACCTCCAGTTTTAGAAAACGAAACTGCAGTACTATACTGGGACAAACAAGTTATTTCTGATTAAATAATGCATTTTAAAAAGCCCAACATAAAAAAAACTCAGCAGGGCACAAGAAACAGAATATAATATGGAGATTGTTCTTAAGAAGACTGCCTTTTCAAACATTAACGTTAAGTTTGAAACACCACAGTTGAACAAGAATAAGCAACAAAATACGTCATAAAAGTAGGAATTCCAGCAGCAACTAACCTCAAAAATACAGAAAGCACAAAAATTACAAAGTACCAAACATTAAGGCAAGAAATTAAATGAATATGGAAGCAAGATCAGATCTTCATCCTCTCATATTCATTTCAGTATCCAAAGTCATTTCAGAAACTTTGGCTATAAATTTGAAATAATTCTCAATCATTTCTAATTTGTGTCTTGAAATTCAGGAAGCAGTTCTTTTACAAATACATAATCTCATCTTCAAGTCCTTAGAATATGACTTTTCATTTGAAATAATTCTCAATCATTTCTAATTTGCATCTTGAAATTCAGGAAGCAGTGATTTTACAAATACATAATCTCATCTTCAACTCCTTAGAATTTGACTCTTCATTTTTAGGCTTGACCTTCTGGTCCACCCCCAGTGCTGTGAAATAAGAAGTACAAAATGATGATGATGATGATAAAACACATTTATTCTGTCAAAAGAGTAACAATAACAAGAATAGATGCTGTATAATTCATTAAATGAGCAAGATTCGAGGCAATCTATATGAATATATATTAATGTATTTGCTATGTAATCATTGAAGACAAGCCAGAAATGGCAAGGGTAAATGGAAAGAGGAGTCATAAGCATCATTCAAAAATGTGGTAAGGAACCGTCCAGGGTCATAGTAAGTTGGTTCTTCTGCTTTTGCTATCACACAGTTGTTCAGGTTAGTGTGCATCAGGATACTAGGTGCTAAAGGAATCTCTAGATTTGTTGCAAAGGAAATACTGTACTAATTCAATATTTTGCAGCCAGCCAGCAATATGGTCTAATCATCTCAAATGGTTTCCCCTTCCCCCATCCCTTGCAGGTCACTGACATCGGTGCTTTTGAAACAGTCTGGCAAGTGAAATTCTACAACTATCACAAGAGAGATCACTGCCAATGGGGAAACAGCTTCGGATGCATCGAGTACGAATGCAAACCCAATGAGACGCGCAGCCTCATGTGGATAAACAAGGAGACCTTCTTGTGAAGCAACACGAGGCAGCTGCGGCTGGACAATCTCTTGCTAAAAGAACCCACCAGTACAAAGCCTTAACAGAGGCACTCTTTATCAATGCATCTGTTGAACCATCGCGGCTACAAGCCAAAAGCACATTTGCTTGGGAAGAAGTCTCTTCAGAATGGAGGGGACTTGCTTCCAAATGAATGTGCTCGAGACCGTGTGTGTATATTTAAAAAAGAGTTCTTGGGATGTGACATTTATTTAACGCCCCCCTCCACCCAGCTTTGAATGATTCCATACCTTTGGTTTAGCAAGTATGGCGAAGAAAATACTGCGCTACTCACCAAAGTCTGGAGTTTTTCTAATGTTTTGTAATCTCCAGAAGTGATGTGCTCTTGAACCATTGTTTTAAAGTGTAGGTGCGGCCCAGTGCCAGTGGCTTCTGTATTTTCATTTGTGTTACTTCACTATGTTCCTTCATAGTAGTGAGTCAGCAGCTGGAAGGGGGGGGGATAGTTTGCTGCTGTGCCATAAGCTTCAGTGTATCCACTTTCCCTTTGCTCCTAATATTTTTCTGATCTATGATACACAGTAACAGTACAATTTCCTAACCATTCTCAGCCCTGCTCCAGTTCACACTGCTTTGTTTGCCCAGCTCTGTGTACACGTGTGTGAGCTCTCTCTCTCTCTCTCGCTCGCTCTGTGTGTGTGTGTGTGTGTGAGAGAGAGAGAGACAGACAGACAGAATATGTGAGAGTCAGAAGGATTATTGAATATAGTACAATACTATCCTATAAGATTTGTTGACAGTTTCCCTCATCTCAGAAACAATCCTTAAAGCCCATGGTGGTGATTGAATTTTTTGGCAGATACAGAGAGGGACAAAGCACTGTGTCCGTGGTTTTAAGTTATTTGTGTATGTGTGTTGCAACTACTTGAACGTGCAGTGATTAAGTATATAATGTTTGCACATTGAGCCCATTGAGTTCTCAGATGACCTGTTCCAGTGGTATTTTTCCATGTCAAGTGAAATAAACCTGGCTGCCAGCATTTCCACAGCTCCCCCATCTCTGTTGCACCACTCGGCAGCCTTTTAGGCCAAACATTCTTGAGAGAGAATTATTTCCAAGGAAGTGGAAAGCCATGTTAGGGCACACTTCCTCCTGTGCAGGACTCTGAACTCTGGTGCTATGTCCTGTGTGAATCTGTTTACAACTCTTGTGGCAAGGAGAAGCACATTCTCTTATCTAATAAAATTAAAATGTGAGAGTGCGGCTTCTGACTGTGGTTCTGTGGCTGCATTACTTTGCACAGAAGTTGTATTTGTGTCCTTCACGTGAGTGATTGATAAATTGTGACCTTTTTAATAAAGGTGTTGGCCAACATAGTTTCCCCATACTATTTATCCCATTTAAATTAACTAATGCCCAAACTAGCATCTTACAACATAAGTGTTGTTTAGGGTGAGCATCCTTGACCATTTATGTAGCTGGTCAAGCTTGATCTGGATTTTCAAAAACAGTTTTATACTTGCCCCTTGAAGTTTATGCATAAACATCCAGTGTCACGGGGATGAAGTGCTCCAGAGCATTATAGGTTGAGGGGCGAACAGGAATCTTGAGGTAGTGAGACCGGCTATTTTTTAATGACATTAAAATATTTCCTCTGGCTATTTAATCTGATAATTTAACATCCTGTAATTTGAGGGTGTCCTTTTTGTACTGAAACCCTAAGCCTTTTCTAAAGCAATGTAAAATCAGACCAGCGCTTTGAAACACTTGGATTGGGTTTCAGAGTAAGTTACCCTCCAAGTCAGATGTGTTCTGTTTTATTTTTAAATTAAGCCACAAGGCCTAAACCTTTCCCTCTGTTTCTGCAAATAAGATTACTACAGTTGCATGCACAGACCCGGAATACGTTTGTAGTTATTGATGCTTCTTTTGATGACTTTTTTTTTTGCATCAGACAAGGTAGGTCCTCATTTTTCTGTTGTGTCCCACCCACTCACCCCAGCCTTGATCTTTACTTGGGGGGTACTGCAACCCCATGGATGGAGCACTGGACGTTCAGCTTCTGCAACCCTGACCCACATGGCAAGGATGGGAAATAGGTGGCCTTCCAGATGTTGATGAACTGTGACTCCCAACGTTCTTCATCACTGGCTGTGCTCACTGAGGCTGTGACTAGACCGGCAAGCTGAATCAGAGCAATTTGGCTTTGTGGCGGCTTGATTCATAGCCTATTTTATGCTTGTATTTAGATCAGGTAATCACACAGAGACCATGATTTGTTTCAGTGCCACTCTCCACACTGGCTCTTCAATCTGACAGGGTTTGATGTGTGCCACAGCCCATCCCCATACAAACGTTGGATCCTGCTTCTGCTGAACTCCAGTTCCCCTTCTTTATGGTTCACTGAAAAGTCGGTAGGTTGTTTAAAAGCATTACATGGCATTCGCGATAAAGAATAGTTTTCCAAAGTTCTCCATACTGTACAAACACCTATATAAATACCTATCACAGAAACATAGTAGTCTACTGTAGTTAGTCGTGGTTGCTTCTATTTCATATTGATTTTTTTTCCCTTGCAGAAGTGATTTAGTGCTAAACTAATGTATCAACACAGTGACAAGGTACTCTAAGTGCTGAACTCAGTTATTTGTTTTTTTAAAACATTTATTAATATACTTTGGAGCAACTATGGAGAAAGATCGCAGAAAAGGCAAGTGTTCCTGCTGTCCAAAACATCATGCTCAGAATACCACCCACAGTCGTGCTGCCACCCCAGCCTTTTGCAGAATGAAACAACTAATCACATGGGGAAACCCCTGTCCAAATGGCTCAAAAAAAAAAAAAGGAGAAGCCCTCAGCAGCAAGGGAAAAAGCCCCACAGCGGAAGCAAAAAGGGTCGGACTGATTCGCATTGACCTTTGTGTCTTGTGAATGAATTTGAAAATGTTCAAATTAATTGGTTGTACTTCTGTGGCAAGTTCCAAACTATTTGCCAGTGCAGGCGCAGCCTATATACTGATAGGAGCTACAGCCCAGCAAGATCTGGACAGCCACATGTTCTCTTCATCCTATGACCCATCATGCCCTTTAGCCTAGCTTTTTGATGAATACGTGTGGTCTGTGGTTTTTGATACCTATGGGAGAGCTGAGTCACCCTGAGTGTTACAGGATGTGCCATCTCAAGTTGCCACGTTTCTAAGGTCATCTCTTCATAGGCAAGCAGTTAGTGGACACATGCCATGAATGGACAAAATAGATTTGCCTGTCCTGTGTTTTTTCTTGCTATTACCATAGCAGTGTACAGTTCCCCACCACAGTTACCTGACTCCAGTAGAACAGAGCCCGAGGTGGTAGGTTTCTTTTCTTGTTTTTACTACACTGTCAGGCACCACTCCAACCAGTGTGGCTACAACTACCAGAATACCTCATTAAACACCAAAGTAGAAAGCATTGAGGGATAGAGGCCAACATTCAAAAGGTTATGGTTCACCCACTTCCTGTCTTGGTTCCTAATTTAGGAGTCACCTCCTACAATAAGCTTAAACAATGCTTTATAAATTTAAATCCTATGTTTTTTTCTTTCCTTGGCTGAGAGAAAGCAGATACCATGCGTGATACAATGTGGTCTTCCAATTTGTGAGACGAGGGGACAAAAGTTAAAGAAGATCATTCCCTCCATGTCATCCCTTTGTTCCACAAGGTGACATGGAGTTATTCGCCCTGTTGTGCACCATCTGCTTTGTACCTTTGCAACATATTTCCCTCTCATCCAGCCTCCTCTGCCAGCATATACGTTTTGTTCCAGAACTATCATATCTGTGAAGGCAGAGAACAGCACAGATTCTGCTCCACACAATGCATTTTCCTGTCAATGTAAGTGCAGCTGGACTCTCAAAAAAAAATTGAAATAAAATTTAAAAGTGTGGCCTGGGACAGTGTTGGATCTCTGTAAGTAGAAAGGAGAATAGCATTCTTGGCTACAAAAACATATGCAATAGCCAAAGAGAGGAAAAGATAGCTTCTTCAAATGCGTGTTTCTTTATCTTATTTATATCCTCCTTTTCCATCAAAACAAACAAAAAATCAAGGTGGCTACTTTTGTTGTTGGTTTCTGTCCTCCTAATTCCTAAGACTCATATTGTTGGCAGTCCAAAGAGGTAGTCTTACCAATCACTTCCTAGATGATTATTGAACCTCAAAAACTAAACACAAGAAAACAAGCACAAGGAAGAAGCTAAAAAGAACGAATGCCTAAAGAAGATACACCTTGCAAGCTAAGAACCATGGGCTCATCCTGAGGTATGGAGTATTATGTATACTATTAATAGAGGAGCATTTGGGAAATGACCATGGGCAACCTCAACCCATCACTATTTGGAATCAGAGAGTGAATATCCACATTAAGCAACATAGACTTGGGCTAAGGCACTTTTATGTGCTGAGCTTATCAAATGCGGCCAAAATTTAGGGGCTTAAAATTAGAGGGAATGTATTCCCTGTACGTTGCCAGAAAATAGTTGGCAGTGGATTGCGCCACCAGCATGTGATCACACCCTGAGTAGGATAAGGCTGAGTTTACAGACCCATTTACTTGATAGTGCGATTCTTAGCATGGCCAGGATGGCATTCTGAATAACACTAAATTTAACATGAGCTTGATGGCACATAAACTTGATGGCACATAATTATGAATGAAACACTATCACACCACTGTGATCTCAGGGACATCTCATCTCTAGATTTGGTGGGGAGGCATCCCCCTGCACAGACCACAAGCCATTGCTGTGGCTAAAAACATTAAAAGCTTTAACACCATTTAAAAACCCTTAAATGCTTGTGCATTTATTTATCTATTTTCTTTCTACTTTCCTAGGGCATACACAAAGCTTTTTGCAGCAATTTAATTCAATTATAAGATATGTAATATTCTGTAAGTATTTATTCTATGTGTAGTAAAGCATAGATTCAACAGATAAATGGGATAGCATCTACCCAATAATGGTCATATGTCATCAAGTCAATTCTTACTTAGGGTGACCTTTTTCAGGGTTTTTCCAGGGAGACAGTTCTCAGAAGTGGTTTATTATTTCCATCTTGGGGCACCCTGGAACTGTTCAACGTGCCCAAGGCTACACAGGCTAACAATTCTCCCAGGAGGCCTATGGGGGGATTGAACTTCCAGCCATATCTAAATCACTGAGCTATTCAGCCAGTCATCTTCTGCCCAGTAAAGCAAAAATAATGTAAGATAAAGTTTGTTTTTACCTGCTGGTGGAACACAGTAAGAGAGGGAGGAAAATAACTAGATTCTGCTATATGAGGACAATCCGTTTCTTTTGTCTATGCCAACCAGGCCTTCCATCACAGCCAAGATAGAGGGACTCTCTGCTATATCTAATGTGGGCAGTCTAGCATAGCAGGATAACATAGCAGTGCTTTAAAAGCAACGGCTATTGACTGCAGTGTATTTTGGATTGTTGGACCTCATATTAAGGAGCTTTTTTTTCATGACTAATTCTCTTAACTTTTAGTAGATGCCAGCTGTGAAGGAGCCATGGTCCAGACTGCAATGCCAAGGGAGAGGAATAAATCTCCCTCCATTGCTCACAGTGACAGAGATGAGTTTTGCAGAAGTAGCAAATAAATAAATATTTTTAAAATATTTTAGTAAAGCAAACCTAATGA